CTGAAATTTTATATTTGTGGTTTTAGATATCCTCCGTCATATATAAGGCATTCATCAAGTAAATTTCAATTTTAGAAGAAACCATTTTTTATCTGAGAAGTAATGGTTTTTATTTACCTTTTCATAAATAGTAAATAGTGGTGGTAAATATTGAAAGTTTTGGTATAAATTAATTTGTATCAGTTTTTTAGCGGTATTTTAAAAGATGCAAGGTTTTCCGTCATTTTCGAAATTTGACATTACTCTTTTAAAAAAGTAGCAACCAAATTTTTAGTTCAACTTGGATGTTTAAGAGAAATGAAAAGAAAAGAAGAAATAAAACTAAAATAAATACTGAATCACATGTCTGTCGGACTATCGATAGGACCAAAAAACAATCGATAGTAGGGAAAAATAAAAAACATCGATACTATCGATAGTGCCATCGATAGTTTTGCACCTCTACTAATTATTCCATAGTTCGAAAGGCAGTTTGATTTCTTATTTATTTAACATTTTCGTTTTCGAGAATAATTCTATTTTGGTTGAAAACCTCCTAACACATCCACATAAATAACGGAAGACTCTCATCGAAATGGCAGATTCCAGCAAAGCGCTCAATATTGGAGATGAATTCCCAAACTTTCAAGCTAACACCACTGAGGGGCCCATTGAATTCCATGAATGGATTGGCAATTCGTAAGTTTGCAACCAAATCGACTTTTAGCTTTGATTAAGTATGTATTTATGCATGTTTGCCTTCAGCTGGGCCATTCTATTTTCACATCCAGCCGACTATACACCAGTGTGCACAACAGAATTAGCGCGCGTAGCCACACTATTGCCTGAGTTTGCAAAGCGCAATGTTAAACCAATTGCTTTATCTGTGGACACTGTCGATTCTCACAAAGAATGGATTGAGGATATAAAAAGTTATGGAAGTAAGTTCAAGCACACTCTAAATAAGTCATTGGAATTACATTAAAATGGTCTTTTGTTTTACAGAATTGAAGTCCTTTGGCTATCCTATAATTGCTGATGATAAGCGCGAGTTGGCAGTCAAGCTAAATATGCTGGATAAGGATGAGTTAAACAAAGATGGCATTCCGCTAACATGTCGTGCTGTTTTCGTTATTGATGATAAAAAGAAATTACGTCTTTCAATTTTATATCCTGCTACTACTGGTCGCAATTTTGAGTGAGTTTTAGCAACTGATTTTAAAATATAAGCTTGGTCTAAAAAGTTTTTAATATTTCCACTTTCAGTGAAATATTGCGCGTTATTGATTCACTGCAATTAACCCAAAATAAGTCTGTTGCCACACCAGCGGATTGGAAAGTGAGTTTTATGAGGAATAAATATGTATGGGATATGTATGTATGTTTATGCATATGCCTTTGTTTTGTTTTTTTCTTTATAACAGCAGGGAGATGTTTGCATGGTCTTGCCAACTGTCAAGGAAGAGGATGTTTCACATTTGTTTCCTGCAGGCGTTGAAGTCATTCCAGTGCCATCGGGCAAAAAATATTTGCGTAAAACACCGCAACCTTAAGCGTATATTAAGTAAGATTTGCCTTGAAGCTTTGAAAAAAGCTTGTTTTTTAATGTTCCTTTTTTTTAAATAAAACTATAAACATCTGAAATATCTTGAACAAACAAATTTCTGCATTATTGAAGTCGTAGACTACAGTCGAAATCGCTATATCTAACTTTTATACAATGAAGTTTCCCTATTTTACATCGATTTCTTTCGGAGGTTTTTTTTTCTTTTAGTAAATTCTTATGCAATAAACTTTTGCTAGAATGGCCCTCAATTAAACTCGCACATTTTTGTCTACATGTAATTAAATTTTTCTATTGAGAAAGGATAATTTGCATATGCCCGAGAATCGAAGTTAACAATAAAAAGAAGTCATCAGAAACTTAAATTTTTTGTAAGCATTTGTCTGTGTTTAGCGACCAAAGTAAAAATGGCGCATGGAACCAAAGTTTCGTTTTTTTCGACCTCATCTAATATTAAAAAAAAGGCAATGGTTTCAAAACTTTCAGAAGTCGGTCAGTAAACCGAAAGTCTTTGAACTTGTCTTTTTGAGGATGTTGGTGAAGCAAAATGGATAACCGCCGTACATGGTAGGCATCTTCCTGTTTCTGGACCATCAAAGAAGCAAGAGGTTAAAGAATACGCTAATGCATTTGTATACGAACAGGTTAAAGCTGGTGGATAAAAAGATAAGATCGCAAATCAACAAATTAATTTTCAAATTTTATTACATGAGTTTTTGAGGCGTGGAAGAGTGTAACTCAAACTTAGTGGCTATTGCAAATGAAAGCTGAAAATAGCCCTATTCCTCTATAAAGCTGGTGGATAACAAGATAAGATCGCAAATCGGCAAATTAATTTTCAAAAATCTCTAAATTTGTTACATGAATTTTTTAGGTGTGGAAGAGTGTAACTCAAACTTATTGGCTATTGCATATAAAAGCTGAAAAATACCGCGATTTCTCTATTATTAAGTTTACAATAAAGACATCTGAACCATTGAATACTTTATAAAGAAGCTTGACTGTAATTTTGTGCTGGCGCATGAGATATTGTGCAATATTTTTAAATGAAAAATAATCGATTACTTCGCAATAAGATTAAATCGATAGCTTTTCTTGGCATTTTTAATGACGTTTAAATTTGCTGCCCTGTTGGTCCAGTGATTTTCGTTCAACATCAGCAAAGAACTATTCCAAATCCACAGCATCACGTTATCAGCAACAGGTTTCTGCATCACACGTCTGCAACGAAAGCAAAAGCCAAATAAATCCTACCTCCTTAAACCGGGTAATGTTGTGAAAGTGCAAAAAAAATATTTCAGCCTAATCCTTTGGAATGCTCTAAAAATACCATTAAACATAGTGCATCTGGAGGAAAAACAACTCAGTGCCAAAGCAGTGTCCTTAGATGAACTAAAAATAGCTTAGTCCTATCGCTAAATTAATAAAACGAGATACAGAATTGATTCTTGGTTATGAATTCGTCCTAACCATTTGTGCGCGAATTATTGTCAAGTACAAAGGTCAATTGTACGCACATTAAGTGGAACACATACTTACATATCTCATTTCAATCTGTTAGTTTAGTAGATAGTACATCATAGCATGAACAATTCTTAATTGACAAAAAAATTAAAAAAAAAAAAACAATAAAAGAATGTCAGAAGCACCAACACAGGAGCGCAAATCAAATCCTTTTAAAGCTTTTCTCAGCGGCGGTTTTGGTGGCATTTGCAATGTACTCACAGGGCATCCATTGGACACCATTAAGGTTAGTTACATTACCAATGTAACATAAGATTGCAACACATTTTTTTATTACTTTACGCGTCTAGGTGCGTCTCCAAACCATGCCACGTCCTGCGCCTGGCCAGCAACCTCTGTACAAAGGTACCTTTGACTGTGCTGCTAAAACGATAAAAAATGAAGGTGTAAAAGGGCTTTACAAAGGCATGTCGGCGCCACTTACTGGTGTTGCGCCAATATTTGCATTATGCTTTGCTGGCTATTCGCTGGGCAAACGCGTTCAGCAAACTGGAGAAAATACAAAATTGAATTATACGCAAATCGCAATTGCTGGCTCATTCTCTGGCCTATTGTCCACGGTTATCACAGCGCCCGGTGAGCGTATAAAATGTTTGCTGCAAGTGCAACAGGCGTCTGGTGGCGAACGAAAATACAAGGGCATGCTGGATACAGCCGTCCAGCTGTACAAGGAAGGCGGTATACGTAGTGTTTATAAAGGCAGCTGTGCGACGCTGCTGCGAGGTAAGTGAGCTTGAGTGAGGAATGTGTGTACCCGCCGACGAATGGGTCTGAATGATAACGCAAACATTTTGATTAAAGAATGTTTTATTTGTAAAAAATATAATTTAGAAACTAACTATACTAAAAATGTCGCAGTTAAAAAATTTGCTTTTCAAGTTAGGATTATCAATATTGCATTCAGTATAACATACGTAGCCGTCTAATAATACCATTTTTAGCATCGCAAATAAAAATAAAAATAAACGATTACATTTGGGCAATAGATATCGATTTTAGGTTTCTAAAATAACATTATTCAAACTGATTAACTTTTCTTAATCGTCACCATTTATCTTTACTTATCCAGCCAATTGTAGATGGCGTAGGCTTTAGCGAACCTCTTAATACCATATAACCCGCTATCTTATTCTACATGACTTATATTCTATATTTCGTTGGATATATTATTGTCTGCATCCCCGATCGTCTCTTCCATCCGCTTTGGTTGATCCCGTTGTACCGTATGCATCAGTGTGGTACGCTGCGTTATTGCGTTAGCGTGCGCTTCCCTGAATACGTGTAATTGATTTCCACTACTTCTAGCACTCGCTGTGCCATATGTATGTAACTGCGTATGATTTTTTCCTTGCATTAATTTCAATTTATTCTGTTCAATTTTGCGCCAATGTGGCATACGTTGCTTTTCTCCTGCTTGCCTCTGCAACACGTTATTATAAAAAAGCGATTGCGACTGCCGCTTTGAAGTCACAATGCGTCCGGGTCCACATTTTAATTGCTTACGCAAAACATAGAATACACTTCTATCATTGTGGTTGTTGCAACGTGGCGCATAGCGATTGTCATAGACGTAGCTATCGACGCGTCGACAAGAGATTTGTGCCCCCGTTTGGTAGTCCGTAATACAACGCTTGGCTCGTGGTCCGCGCTCTTGATTGGTAATTTTCGGCCGCCAGTTATACATGTCACAATTGCATTGCCATGGATTTTCACTTAGCCGAGCTAAACGTAATTTTGGACGCAGAAAGAATGTGACGGGTAGTGTGCGCAATTGATTGCCTTGCAAATAAATTTCCTCCAAGCTGGAGAGGTCATCAAGCAAGCCAGGCGGAAAGTAGGAGAGGTTATTGTAAGATAAGTCAAGTATTTCCAGGCTTCTGCAGTCCATTAGCGCGTCCATTGATATCTCTTGTATGCCACAGTGGCTGAGCTCAAGCTCACGCAGCTTTATCAGACCGGCGAATGCATCAAACTCGATAGAGCGTATGCTGCCGCGCAGCGCAAGTTGCTCAAGTGCCGTTAAACCCTGCAATTGAAATATGTTATTTAAATTGTAAACTGAACTGCCTGCAAATAAGCAATCAATTTGTGATTGAATGCCTTAGACGCAACTTGTATGTACATATGTATGTACATATGTATGTACGTCTGCCTACCTTAAACATATTCTGCTCCAAATTGCCAATTGACACATTTCCGATATGCAGCGTCTCCAGCTGCAGCAACGATTCGAACGGTTGATTGTTGCGCAACTGCAACGATACTGATGTCGAATCAAAGTCGATGTTGCGCGTTGAATTCATAACCCAGAAACTAGCTGACAATATATAACGTATAGGATTATTGCGAAAATCAATGCGTACTAGCTTCGGAAATGGCGGAAAGCTGCGTTCACTCAACTTCTCCAAGCGATTGTGGCTCAAATCGAGGACTTCCAGCCGCAAAAGGCCAGCAAGCGCGCGGTAATGCAAATCACGTATGTAGTTATGCGCTAGCGATAAGGTTTGTATGTGCATAGCGCCGTAGAAGGAAAATGGTGGCACTTCAGCAATGCCATTGCGCTCGAGCGATAAGTGTTCCAGGGCTGTCAGCCCATCGAACATCTCCCATTGCAGTTCATTGAGCTGACAGTCATGTATGCGTAACACTTCTAGGTGTTCCCAGGCATAAAAGGTTGGCATGCGTGCCTTTATCAATTCCTGTTTATAGATATCGTAAGGTACAATGTAATCGTCCATTTCATCATCTAAAGGAGCGAAAGCAAAGCGATTGCCATCTGCGTCTACATCATCATACGTTTCGCTGCGTGGCTTATAATCAAAGCTGTCCTTTGGATGTACAGGATTTTTTGGGCGTTTATATGTCTCGCTGCCCAGCAACGTGACCGACTCAAAATTTGCATGTTGCAGGAAAATGAGCGGTTCATCGAAAATAATGCGCAACGAACGATTGAGGCCGCCGCGTACTTCCAAAGTGGTCAGTTGGTTGAGGGGGTGTAGAGTGCTCAAATTTACTGTTTGAAATAGAAATGTGATTACAGATTAGACATTGAAGTAAAAGAATGAAATGTGGAATAGCGATATGCCTACAAAGCTTTTAAATGCTAGCAGAAAAACTAACATAGCCCATGCCCATATGTACAAATTTACAATTCTAATCTCCACATTTACATTGTAAATACTTACTTACCACTTTTATTTCTTCCGCTACTTGTGTAAAGCAAAACGAGAGCATGCAAATCATGTGGCAGCATTTGTATCAATTCTTCGATATTTGTCCACTCTTGAATTATACATGTGGCCTGCTTCATGAAGGGATTCGTTAAAAAGGCATCGCTATCATCTTCATCACCGCTCTCGCCACTGCTGAACGTCTGTTCATAGCGTTCATCACGATCGTATTGCCAAATATCCTCCTCGTCTGCCACTGTATCGCTGCTACCTGGTCGATTGGCTTGCATATATTGTATCCAACGTGATATGGGCAATTCGTTGAAGTGTTCATACTGACAGACGCAATCCACTGGACATTGCAGCGTATCAATCTCAAGTTGTGGCTCGTGCGGCGGCGTTGGCGACGACGACGACGACGTTAACACTAACGGCGCCACTTCCGTTCGCTGCAAACGCTGCTGATGCTGTGTTCGTGTTCGGTGCTGCGTCGGTGATGGCCTCACTTCATTGTGAGCACGCTTGACAGCATGCAAAGCGCCGCTAGCTGTGTGGATTGACTTCTTAAGCTGTTGCTGGTGCTGATTTGCATGCTTCTTGTTATTATTTTTCACCTGCGACTTGGCATTGATGCGCGCTGCATTAACGCTGATTTGCTGTTGGCGAGAGTGGGAGGAAAAAATGGTATTTTATGTAGGTTGAGTAAGAATTCAAATTAACGACACATTTTTAATTCATTGAGTGCAGTACCGTTTTAGA